CCTGTCGGGTAATAGTGTAGACTTTTACTGCAGTCTACAGTTGCGTAGACATTTAGTTCTGTCTACTCGTAGAAAGTCAACTTTGGTCAATTGCAAAACTAACCTCTTTCAAATAAATTTAAAAGTGTAGACTGCATAATAGGTCTACTTCTAAAAGTCAAATTCTGATCGAATTCTGGTCAATTGCAAAACCAACCTTATAAAAAATGTAGACTGAAAAGTAAGTATACTCGTATAAAATCCATTTTTTTTTCAAATACAGAAAGTAACCCGTGAATTTGGCAATTGCAGAAACCAACCTAAACGTAGACCTAATGTTCGGTCTACAACCTGTAAACTGAATAAAACGTCTACATGTCTGTAGACTGAATATGTAGTCTACCATGTAAAATCTATCAAAAGTGGATTTGTGTATTATTCATTAAGTTTTTTCAAAACTTTTTTTGATGAAAGTGTGTGTTAGTTAATCATAAGTGTCTTGAATGATTTTCAGAAGATAATCTGTTATAATTAGGAAGTTATCAAATTTTTTGTTTGTCTATGTTGTTATCTTAAAATTTGTAGACGTACTTGTAAGTCTATGAATAATTTTATCAAACATGAAATTTTGGTTTGCTAATTATGTAAACCGTATTGTTTTGCAGGAAATGGTTCAACTACCTGTTGTATACGGAGAATGGGTGGTGAAAGACTCTTTGTGGGAGTTTGAGGTCGATAATCAAAAAGGAGAGAGTTTGTTTCTCCAAAATTTGTGCCACGACAGATTCTGGTGCGATCCGTCAACATTGCACGTACGATTGATTCGTTTTACAAGGAAGGTAATGCATTTGTTCATCCTGATCAAAACCTAAAAGACCTTATTGTCTCTTTGTTCCTCCATCCAATTCCTCTTTAAAAATTTAAGAATGAATAGACTAAAATGTCATTCTATTATCTTCAACGTTTTTTTCTTAGTTATTTCTATTTCATTTACATGTGATAATGGACGGCAAAATCTTCTCTTGAGGAAATATTGTTGTGAATACATATATAAACATAACCCTAACGACTTTACTTCTTCTATTCTAATATTTCTAACTCATAGACTAATGACTT